CCGACGGGAATGCATGACCCTCTCACACACGTCACCTCTTCTCCCGCCATGGCCTTTATTTCTATGAATGATACCGATGATTTCCCATGACCCGCGCTGTACCTGTCCCAGCCTTGGATTAATTTCTGAATCCTTATTTACCCATTTATATTCCAAATTACGAGAAATTTGAGTTTAATCACCTGGCTCTACATTTTCCTTTGTAATTTTCAACAATTGTGTTTCGGCAGACCTATCTGCTGTCTGCCTCTCCTATTTACAGGCTGTTGTGCTGCTGAGTTGGAAGGATATTGACAGGTATCTCTGGATTTCAGAGAGAACAATCACAGGCTGAATGTGACCAAAAAAGACTCCCTGACTCTGCAAAAGCCATCAATGTTATGCTCTTCCCTGCAAAGAAACGTTATGTTTCTTCTGAAAACAAAAAAAATTCCAGCTGCAGACATTATTTCTTATGTAGCTAAGAATATGTTATTTTTTTAAAGCAAACTTTTCTCATAATAACTTTACGAAGGTTTCCTATACTCTGTGCTCTATGGTCATAAATAACAGTGGATTCCCTCCCAAATAAAACCCCCACCCCTCAGCCTGTCATTGAAGGACTTCCATATGGGATCACTTTTCTGTCTTAGCACACTTCACAATTTGTATTCCAATTAATTTGAATGACTTGTAGTGTCACGAATATCCTGTGCTTTCTGTAAGCATGCTTCACAGACCTGTCTAAAATTCTGGTGTATATAAAATTAACATGCTAATAGTAAAACTGTTAGTATTTAAAAATTATTACTAATGTATCTGGAATTATTAACAGAAACTCTGGAAGGAGAGCATTTCTTTGGGGAAGTGTGTGATTCCCTGGGTAATTATGTCATTTCCGGACTTGGCATTGGCTCTGTAATAATGCACAATATGCATTTGTGTCAAATACTTACCAATGTCATTCCCTCTCATATCTGACATTCTAAAGGACATCTCTCTTTGTGCTATAAAAATGCATTATGCATTTCTGAAAGGAAATTCATTTATACCTTGGCTTTGATTCATCACCTACTGAAGATTCATTTCAGACATCGGATATTTGATTGAGACAGGTTAATGGACACATTAGCTACCCATCTAGTATTTTCAGGTTCTGTCGCTGCACTAAGTAAGATGATTAAAAAGTAAAGCGTCTGACATTATTATTCCAACCCTTTACAGAAAAGCACTCTGAAATTTGATTTGATTGATATTCTTTGCCTTTCCTGGAGATCAGTTTAAGAACTGCTTATTTGACTAGTGTTTTATATTTTTATAAAATTATTATTAATCAATAATCTCTTAACCAAGTAACTATGTGATAACTGCCTTGAGTTTATTTGCAACATGAATATTTTGTTGTCAATTTTAATTGTCACACATTTAAAATTGTACAATATACCATGTTTATAGGTTATTTTCGTGACCTTACCTGACTAGGCATGTATTGACAAATTTAGAATCCGGTTGTAATCACAACAACACATCTGAGGTTGCCAGGGTTCCTTATCTTTCTTTTTCCTTATGTTCATGTCTTTGAACCTTTTTGAAGTAATTAACCCCGTTGGCCTTTTGAGAGAACTGTGGATCTTGTCACTTAGTTACTCAATTCTATGTTTTGTGCAATTATTCCACAGTAGGAATCCAGGCAAGGGGATACACGCTGAGCAAAATATTACAGAATAATTCCTACCCTGAGTAGACTTAAAAGTGAACAGGGAAGACAGATACTAATTTTAAAACATAATGCACATAAACTGAAAGGTACCATGTAGGAACACCACAGTTTCATTTTGGAGGTGAGTAAATGAAGGTGTGGGTACAGTCAGAGGTATGTTCCCTGAGAAACTGAAGTGTGGACTGAGATCTAAAAATGGTGACAGAGGGGCATATGAAAGAACTGAGGGAAAGCAACAGGTGCAGAAGAGAAGGCACACAGGGATCTCTTCACGTTGGGCAGGGAAATGGAGAATGCATGCAGAGCCCAGGACAAATGCAGACACACACGCAAATGGCACCCTTGCATTATATATTCTGTATGCCTTATTCATCATGGCGTTAAACCTGTATTGAATGTAAATTAAACTCAACTTCAAATATTTGGAGGTAGTATCAAGACATAACGGCTAAATATCTAAACAAGAAAACAGAGGCTCTCCAAAGGCTTTCACGATTACTTTACCCAAATTAAGTTCTCAAAATTCTGTTAACATTGTATTGAGTTGATTAATTTCTGCAAAGAATTTGAAACAGAAAGGTTCTGCTTCCTCCTTATAAGATTCATATATTTACTCTTAGACTCAATTTTTCTTTCCTCTGGGCTTGATCCCAGCTTCCTAATGGTCTTCCTTTTTTGATTTCATGAACTTTTGTATAACTATACTTCCCCCTAACAGTGTAATTTGATATAACACATGCAATAAAACTTTGTTTTCATTTATGTAGTTTCTTCGCCAGGTTCTAGTGTCCTTTTATTCTCTTTGCATATACAGTTAATAATTTATTCAACAAATAGGAATTGAATATGACAATTTAACAGCTAACACCTATACTAAATGGTAGTTAGATGTTACATTAAATGTTTTACATTTATTAGTTCACTTAATACCCATCAATTTGCTATGGGATTGGGGCTAACATCATCCCTTTTTAAAAATGGTAAACTGAGGTATAGAAACATTAAATAATTTGCCAAGGTTCCACACAGTTTATAAATGATAGCAGTTGGATACACAGGCTGTTCGACCCTGGAGTTTATGTTAGGAATTTCTTCTGCTATATGGTTCGCCACCTGAGCCATACAGTGTGGTCAAACTACATACTGACCGGCACTATGCTGGGTTCTCAGGACAGAACATGGATAAGAAAGGCAAAGCCCTTGAGCTTATAAGTCAATAGGCTTAGAGGGAAAAAAGACAAGTCTAATACATGCTGGTATAGATGAAATTCAAGAAGATATAGTCTACAGAAGTGG